ATTTTAAAAATATTAAAGTTTAATTAATAACTAATAATCATAAATAAAAATTAAATTAGGTAAGAAGTTAAAAAAAATTATAAAAACTTTTTTATAAAAAAAAATCCTAGAGACACTTTCGCACAAGATAGAAGTTTGTTTTTAACATATAGGGATTGATTAATAAAAAAATATTAAACTCTAATTGATAAATAATTATGATAAATAAAAAAGTTTAAAATCTTTAAAAATTTTCATTAAAAAAATTCTCAAATTATTTTGACAAAATAAAAATTTATATTTAATATATTGGAGTTATTTGAATGAGATGTTTTTATCATATTACTATGTTAAATCAAATAGTTGCGACTCAAGCCCATTAAAAACCTAGTTGCGTCACTATGTGTAACATCCCAATTTTCATACTTTTTATGGAGGGTAATTTAGTAATTTTCATAAGATTTATTGAGGTGATTTAATAGCCTAGAACGGGTCGTTCCAAACTACTAAAAAGACCTAATTTTGGTAGCCCACAATGGGCCGTTCCAAACCACCAAAATCGTCTATAACCCTAGTTGGGAATGGGTCGTTCCAAATATGGACGTTGTGAGTTAAAACTCATCTCCAGAATGGGCCGTTCTGGTTTGAGAACGGGTCGTTCCAGATGTGAATTTTCCACATGATGAAAGGATCCAGAACGGACCGTTATAGATCTGAAACGGGCTGTTCTGGCCACTCCTGAAATCTATAAATAGAACACTTTGACACTGTTTCTAGACACACTATTTGGAGACCAAGGAGAACCAAGAGAAGGAGATCAACCAGATTCCGCTCTAGCTTCGTCTTCTGCTTATCCAGGTAAGGGGGAGTGAGAAACCTCGCTCGGGAGTGTGAGAATAATTGTTGGGTAGTTGGATTAGCCCCCAATCCCTTGCCTGATGCATGCTTTTAGGAACAGGTAAAATATGAACATTTTTTGTTTTGCCATCTGATTGTTTTGTTGGGTTTCTTGTTAGATGTGATGTGTAGATATGTGATTGATTTTGAAAATGAATATGCTTTGATATGAATTAGAGTGCTCTATGGGGTCTTACGGGAAACCCTATGAGAAACAAGCAAAATATGAATATTTTCTGTTTTGCTTTCTGATTGCTCTATTGTTTGAATGAGATGTATGAATATGAGATTAATTTTGAAAATAGATAAGTTTTGATATTAATTAGAGTGTTCTGTGGGTTCTTTTGGGAAACCCTGTGAAGTAAAATTAGGAATATGATTTATGGATAATTTGAGGCATTATATGTAAAGTTGATGGTGTCTTCATGTTTTGAATAAGTTCTTGGTATGATTTATATACTATTTTGATGTATATGATTACGAGAAGTTTCTTATATGAGACTATGTGAATATGATGTGAGAATGTGAAAGGTGAACATATGATCTGTGATATGACATTGTGAAATAATGTGACATGAGATATGATGAGATGTGAAATGTGAAATGTTGAGTCAATGAAATCGTGAATGTGTAACATGCATCATTTGCATTTATGAGCTAACCAGGTGTACCTTTTGGTCACCAAGTGATGTAACCAGCTAATCAGGTGTACCTTTTGGTCACCAAGTGATGTAACAAGCTAATCAGGTGTACCTTGTGCCACCAAAAGATGTAACAGGTGTACCTTGTGTCACCAAGTGATGTAACAAACTAACAAGGTGTACCTTGGGTCACTAGTGATGAAATGGTGAGAACTGAGATTATGAGACACGTGACTGGCGCCACATGCATTTATGAGTCGAGTCCATGAGATCATTGCATGATGAATGATTGTGCATGTGTTACTATTGTATGTATAAATGGAATTTGTACTTAAATAATGTGTAGTTATGACTATGCTTATATGATTGTGTGTGAGTTTCCTAACTGTTATTTCTACACTTAGAACCGAGTGAGATGTTTCTCACTCCCTTATTATCCTTTGTATGTGTTTAAAATTGTGTTGCAGGTGATCATCA